TTCTGGACATCTTCCTCTGTAGTCCCTTGCTCATTCTTAGACAGGTCCAGGCCTTGCCATTCAGTGGGGTTTTAATTCTCCCACTCCACAAACCTCAGATGTAATTTGGGCTTTTTGCCTATTCCTTATTTGTCATGTGGATTCTTTCTATTTACTTCTCCTTCTCCTTGGTAACCTTTGTTTACCTTCGGATCCAAACTGTTCTGATATATGTACATGCATACCCCTCCAGTAAATAGTTCCCCCATGTCAGGGCACACACCCTGACTAGCCCGGACCCGGACCCATGTCCGGACCCACTTCCACCTGCCACGCTTCCCACTCGCATGCACACTCCGCATGCTGCATGCTCCGGGCCCGGTTCCTACCCCTTCATGTGACTTCCGGGTATCCCCGGAAGTTTTGCTGATATTGTGGCCACTGTGGGAAGATGAGAAGTTAGCTTCCTTCTCATCTTCTTACCCACAGTAGGCAAGTTGTACATACTTGCCCTTCATTTATATCATCTTCTTACCCACAGTAGGTTGTGCCCTGGTGTGAGGTCTGTGGGGCTCGCTCAGGTCACCAGGCCATAAGTGTCACAAAGGTGTGGGTATTATGGGGTGATAAGCGATAGGTTGTAACCCATTGCCTGTCATGTGACACTAATCTACAACGGGACTACATGTAATGGGGGCCCAGGGCTTGTGCCCTGACACTCTCCCCCCTTGCATTGCAGTTGCAATGCATACAAGATAAAAAGAAAAGGAAATTTTAAGCTTAAAAGGAATAATGAATAAGGAATGTGTTCGCTGCTTTGGAGTGGGCAACATTGTACATCAAGTTATAAAAAGAAAAAAAAAGGAAAAGGAGTGAACGTCTTTAAAGTGGGCAGTGTTATACATAGGGATAAGTATATATGAAGTCCTTAAAATATCGGGTTTCCCAATGGGAAATTCTCCAAAGATGTTTTGCATCTTCGGCCTGTGTTTTCTCCTCAAATTGATAATTTAGGTCTGTAAAATATTGTTTACAGTGCTTTGCATACTGTTTTGTGTGTGAGTTCTTGCATTTTCGCAAGAGTGGAGTGGTTTCCACTTTACCAGAGAAATTTGTGCTCTGGATTTTTCGTTTGTTCATCTGGCTGTTTAGCTGGATGGTTTTCCATGGTTAGAGCCACCTTGCCAAATGCGGAGCTTGACAGAGTACTAGTTGCTCCTGGTTATGATTGTTCGACTTCATGGCCAGCATGAGTCCCCGGAACTTTGTTCCGGTGCTGTTTGGAGGCTGTTGCCTCTTGCCACAGCTCCCATGCTGTGTTCCCCAGTGTTTGTGAGGATTTTTGGACTCAGATCTATCTTATCTCGGTTGAACGGTTCCCTGTTGCATTGGATGCCTCCCACCAAGGTTACTTGCCCATAGGGTGTCAAAGTACTTGACAGCCCGCTGCCTCTAGCAGTGGTCCCAGCCTGGGGTTTGCTATTGGCTGCCTACTGCCTTCCTTCCTTCCCTCAACCTGGGTCTGTGCTCTTGTTGGAGCACCACTCTGCAGTCCGGACAGGGTCACCTACCCACAGGGTAGCGAGAATTGTGGTATCCCATCCCAGTCATGTTAGTCCCTGTCTGGGTTACACTTTCTGAGACCCAATATTACATCTCCTCCCCCTAACCTGGGAGGCCCCATCATGGTGGACTTGGCAGTGGGATTCTGCCCGTGCACAAGTGAGCTCAGGCTCACATTCAAGTTCCTCGATTTCTGGAAATCGGTTTCTCTTCATTTTGGAGAGAGGTAATCCTTCGCACTTCTATGCGAATCTTGTACTCCTGCCTCTGGGTGGCACGGTTCTCATAGGCATTTCTTGGCACCTCTGAGTAATCAGGTCGTCTCTATTCGGATGGCCTGAGTGAGGAGCTTGTCTCGCTCTCTCGTTTCCCTTTCATGAGGGATTCTGTCTCATCCAACTCCTTTCGGAGTTGGCTTGTGTTGTCCACTATCACCGGGGGTGATAGCTTGCTCTCAGCTTGGGTTGGGCTGAGAATTTGTTGGCTTTGGCCATCTCGAAAAGCATGTGGACACTTCCCTGTAGGGTGGCTTGCCCATAGGGTGTCATGGTACTTGGCGGCCCACTGCCTCTGGTAGTGGTCCCCTTTTGGGGGTCTGTCATTGGCTGCCTACCATCTTCCCATCTCCCCTCGACATGGGTTTGCCCTCCTGAGGGCGGGCCCTTATGCAACCTGGACAGGGTTGCCTGCCCACGGGGTGGCGGGATAGTCGGTGCCCCACCCCTTGGTGCACTAGTCCCCATATGGGGTCGTGCCTCATGAGGCCCGGAACTGTATCCCCTCCCCCTGACCTGGGAGGCCCCCATCATAATGGGTTTGGCAGCGAGGTCTGCCAGTGCGCGTGCCTCTTCAAGCTCGTGTTTTAACAACTCGATCTCCCTCTTCTGGAGGTCGACTTCTCTCTCTGTGTCTTTCAGAGAGGCAAAGATGCCGAAGCATCTCTGCATGCCCTATTGGATTCATGCCTCCAATGGGCACCATTATCACAGGCATCATCTGACACCCTTGAGTTGTCAGACCGTGCCCGTTTGGACAGCCTGGACAAGGAGCCGCTGTCGCTCCCTCATCTCCCTCCTATGAGGGACTTTATCTCTTTCAACTCCTGACGAAGTTGACCTGTTTGGGCAGCTACCACTGATGCAATAGCTGATTCCCAGCCTATATTTGGCTGGGTTGTCGGATCTGGGCCAAATTGGCCGATCCAGGGAAGTTCCCTGGGGCTGCAGCAGCAATTGCTGCCCCTGGAATGGCGCTTGTTGTGCCATCGGTGCAGTTTGTACTGCATATGGTTTTACACGTGAGCCTGGGGTTCACATGGTCTAGGCGAGTTACTCGCCTAGCCCATGTGATGTCTAGCCCATGGTGTGGCTGTCCAGGCGAGTTGCTCGCCCAGAATCTTCCCACGCTCTTGGCTGTGGGTGATCGCCCTTCAGCTTCACTTTTTCCGCCTCTGTTTTTGGGGGCGTAGTGATGCCGAAAGTTCCGTATCTTCTTAGATCGGGAGATTTTCCGGTTCCCTCTCATTTTGTAATGTGAGGTACTTGTCCAGGCAGACAAGGTCGTTACCATTTCCTAGGGGTTCCCATGTGGTGTCCCCTAGCTCCCATTTGGCCTTAAACCAGAGTTCATCATGAACCCATGTGTGGTTTAAGATTTTGCGAACTACTGCTTCGCAATCAGGGTCTTCCCCGAAGTCATAAAATATGTTTACTTCCCTATTTGGGAAGATTTCTTGGTCATTCGGCTCATGGGGTGTGAGCCGAGATATGTGGAATCTTGGGTGGACTCCACATTGTTCAAGTTGTGGTGGCAACTTGAGGACGTAGTTTGATGTCTCTGGAAATGTTTCCAGAATTTCATAAGGCCCTATATACAGGGGCTTTAGTTTGCCTGCCCTCTCTTTGGGTAGGTTCAACTTATCTGTGGATAAGTATGCAAGCTCACCTTTTCTCAAAGGCAGGTCCAGGTGTCTTTTCTTATTCGCCTGGATTGTTTGAGCAGCACGATTGTGTATTATCATGTCGGGTGCTGCCATTAGGTTTTCCTTCGCCTTTTGGGCGAAATCATTCACTCCTGGGTAGTCCGAGGGTGGTGCTGTTAGGCACATCTTTGGCATGTGGCCATAGATTAATTCGGATGGGGCAAATCCTGTCGATGTGTTCGAGCTCGCATTGATTGCGAATTCTGCCATCGACAGCTTTGCTGCCCAGTCGCGTTGATCTGGTCTGACCATTGCATGTAGTATCTGTACTACTTTCTGTCATGAATTTTGAATCTCGATCTGATGCGATCGAGTGTGGTAGTCTGTGAAGTCATGCAACTTCACGAAGAAACATGAATGCTAGTTCTAATGCATTCATGGTTGTTTCATGGGATCAGGTGGACGTTGTTGTGTCTGCCTGTGGACAATTCCTTGGATGGAATCATATCCCAAGTCTGTTGGGATGTGGTTGCTTCCCGGGTTTGGGTACTCCCCCCTAGAGCTTCCTCTAGGTTATTTGGTCTCGAGAGTATCTCGGGTTCATAGGCGTGATGCCTCTGATGACTCCTTACAACTGGTCTTCTAATGCCAGTTTGATCTGTTTGCGTTTGTGGTCAGCCAGAGGTCTCAGGCTGGCACCGGAAGCAAACTGAATTCCCCTATCAAGGAATTGTATTAGGGATGTTTTCTCCCCTATTGTTATCCCTTGGATGTTTATCCGAGTTTTTCCCTGCCATTGATAAGTGGGGTTAAACCTGAGACCACACAGTTGCCCTTTCGATTCAACACCATGTTGAATGTCAGGTGACTTAAGCTGAGTTGCTCGGCTTTACCTGAAGTTACTCGGTCGGGGGCATGACAGGAATTTCTGTCACGCACTGTGACACAATTCAATGTCACACACTTGCGACATGAAGAAGATGGAATAGAGAACCAAAGTCTGAGAAACCAATGCTGTAGGGGCATTAGGACTTTGGAAATTAGTACAAAGGTTGTATTGCTCAAAACAGAGCAAATTTATAATTAAAATGGATTTAAAATGAGTATCGCATAGGTTGGGCCAAGTTATTCAGCTTTATCCCTGTTTGCGAGTTCAAGGAGTTTGGTTCCTCAAGCAATTGCCTTCCAGATGGTATTTATCTGGGAGTTCCAGTTCCTCTGAGCTAGGACTGGGTTGTTTCTTTCTTTGGTATTTCTACCAAAGCATCGGTGACTTTCTCATTCACCATGTTTATGGCCTTCCCAAGGAAAGAGCCAGAGAAGAAGGGAAAAAAAAACAAGGCAAAAAAAAAAAAGAGGGCCTGGAGCACTTCCAGACACAATGGAGTCTCCTCAGTCTGAGGAGTTAAACTATAGCATATTACTATAGGTCAATGGTCAGGTAGACCTTCAAAAACCTCTCGGTATGAGAGGAAGGCTGCCAATAGCAGCAAGATTGCATGGACTGGGTTGTCTGCACAAGTGGGAGTTATGATCTCTACTTGATCTTATCTGCCAATTCTTGGTCCTCCTTCAGGTACGAGGAGGGCTGATTGGCCTTGTTGGCCAATCGTGCATGATGCAGCCCAGTATTTCTACTGGGGAGAGGGTGGATTGTGGCCGCTAGCCAGCCGAGTATAAACTCCACCCAGAGCTCATCTTCTTCTGGAGACTCTGGGGTGGTTTCTTCCAAAGGGTCCTCCTTCAGTGGGTCTCCCTCCAAGGTTTTTTTCTCGGGGGTGTTGTCTTCTGAGTGACTTTCCTCAGGGGAATCCCTCTTTGGTGTCATCACCAAAGAGTTGGTAGTTCTTTTTTTGGTCTGGCTTATCGTCAGTTTTAGTGTATTTTTTTCGTCATTGTTTTCAATGACGTCGGATCTTGGGGCCATTATTGTGGTCCCAACACTGATGTCCTCACCCTTTCTTCTGGGTGAGTAGTGAGGTCCCTTGTTTGGGTCCTCTGGTTCAAAGTCATTGGAGGTGTCCTCCACTTCAAAATCACCAGAGATATTCTCCGGTTCTTCTTCGTCGGAGTCGTCTCCAACTTCACCTTCTGTTTTGTAGTCGACTTCCCTGGCGATCCTGTGCCTTGGGTTTCTGTCTCCTACTAACTGGTGCTCAGGGCGGCTCTTTGTCCGCTCTGGTATTCCGCAATTATTGCATACTTGTACTGGCCTTTGGTCGGTGTTCCCTGACTGCTTCAGGGAGGATTCGCCTTTCCATTTGGGTTTAGGGTCTTGCACATTGGCTCTTGCCTCTGCGTGTTTCTCCTTTCCTGCCTGGTTGGGCTTTTCGTGATTTGTGGTCGCGGTGGTTTCAGGTCTGGCATAGCATTCTGGCCTGTAGGCTGGAGCTATCCTCAGCCTGTTTTTCATCTCGTCCATGCGAGATGTTGTTCTGAACATCTCCTCGAAAGAGGAGAATCCCATTTTGATTATTTCCTCCTTGCATTCAGGGAGGATGTTTTCCAGAAACCTAGCATTAAGCGATGGTTCTGGGTAGGACTGTCTGGGTCCTTTTCCTGCATTGTACTTTACATTGCAGTGTTTTTCCGTCACCTTCAATGTGGCAGGCTCCTTGATATATGTCCTCATTAGAGTATCGAGAACTTCAAGAAATTTCCCCCCTTTATCTCTAAGGAGGGCTTCTTCACGGAGTTTTAGTCCGTGTGAGAGTGCAGGCTCTGCCAATCCACCAATGAGACAATCCAGATGGATTTCATTGTAGTGTGCGCCTCTATATCCTCGTGATGTGAGGAATCCTAGCAGTGTGGTGTACCACTGCCAGAAATTTTCTGTATTGTTTTTGCCTGACCACTTCATGTCAGGGAGTCGAGTAGGACCGTTATTTAACCAGTCCCACTTCACCCTGTCTATGTGCAGGGTGAAAGTTAGAAGTTCAGCCATTCGTGTGGCCTTGTGGTACCATCTTTCGAGGTGCCTGTTATCCTCCAGCTATGTTTTACTGGAAGTTTTCCTTGTGAAGTTTTCACGAGGGTTTGTTTGGTTCTCTCCAGCATTACTGGAGGGGTTTTGCAGAAGGTTACTTCCACTTATCCTTTGCCTGGGTGAAGTGACCGAGGAGGGCCATTTATCGCCTAAGATGGGGCCTGGTGTTGATGGTTGCCCGCTCATTTGTGGGTTCTCCTTACTAGGCTCCTTCTTCTGCCACATTGCACTCCTACAGACTTCGGTGACCTCATCCAAAGTTGGTGACTTCACTTTTTTTGGCAAAAGTTTTGGGTTCGGCCTTGGCAGCAGTGGCTTCCCCTGAGCCTCTGTGCTCTCTGAGCATCTGCCCTTGACCTTTTCTCCTATTATTTCTCGGGCCTTTAGCCTGAGAAGGAGTTCTTCATCACTTCCTGTCCTCCATTCGGATGGGACCTGGAAAAAGTCCAGAAGTTTCTCGGACAATCGACTTCGGGGAGCTTCCCCATCCTCCTGCACCTGGTCCCTTTGCTGTGTCCATGCTGGGTCCGAGGCCATCTGAGGACAGTCCGGAAGTGAGCTCAACCTGTGAGTCTGTGTCGATCTGGATGACATGGCCTTTATATCCATGTTGGAGTGTGTACACTCGTTCTCAGATAGAGCGCTGAGTGTCTCACAGTGGTTGTGAGATGGTGTCGGTGGTGTGGAAGTTTTTTCCACATTTCCTCCACTCAGGACTGGCTCCCTGCACAAGCGGGGGTCGTTCCATGAGGGTTTTTGATGATTCCCAGTCTTATAGACTGGGGTTTGAACCGGCTCACGCCTAGGCGGCGAGCTGGATGTCTCACTATAGTTGCAAGACGATAGCGACGATGTGGAGGTTTTTTCCACATTTTTTGCAATCAAAGACGGCTCCCTGTGCAAGCAGGAGTTGTTGTTCGATTGTTTTGCACAATTCCCAGTCACATAGACTAGGGAGTGAACCAGCATGCTGCGATTTTGCGGGCTGGACGTCTCACAGTTAATGTGAGACGATGTAGACAATGTGGAAGTTTTTTCCACATTTTTTGCGATCACAAATGGCTCCCTGTGCTGGCAGGAGTTGTCGTTTGATCGATTTGCACAACTACCAGTCGCATAGACTGGGGAGTGAACTGGCTTGCTGCTATATCGCAATCTGGGCGTCTCGCGGCTGACGCGAGACGATTCCGTAGATGTGGACGATTTTTCCACATTTTTTGGAACTCCAAACGGCTCCCTGCGCCAGCAGGAATGGTCATTTGGTTGTTTATGACAACTCCCAGTTGCATAGACTGGGGAGTGAACCAGATTGCTGCTATATTGCAATCTGGACGTCTTGCGTTTAATGCGAGACGATGCTGGACATGTGAAAGATTTTTCCACATTTTTTGGGATCAAAAACGGCTCCCTGTGCCAGTGGGAGTGATCGTTTGATGGTTTTGTGTAACTCCCAGTCAAATAGACTTGGGAGTGAACCAGCTTGCTGCAATCTTGCAAGCTGGATGTCACGTGGGTGACTCAAGACGATGTGGACAATTTTTCCACATTGCTTGGGGCCACAAATGGCCCCCTGCGCCAGCAGGAGTTACTGCTGTTTTTGTCAGTGTCTTGGACCAAGTGAGAGGTTCCCTGAGGATAGTGGGGCTCAGGGACTTCTTTTGGCGTGTCTGACCCAGCCCTTAAGGCTGTTAGTGTGGCAGCCGCGCACTTATGTGTGCGCATGTTTGCCTCCTCACCCAGTGGTGAGAACTCTCTCTTTCTAGGAGAGATCATGTTCGCACATGGGGTTCTAAGGGTATTGTTCCCTGCATTTACCCCATGTAAGTTTTTGGGATCCTCAGGGTTTGTCCCTGAGGTCCTACCAATATGTGGCAGGTCATCATCATCATCCAATGACGCAGTGTTTAGGTTATCTCCCAAATTGGGAGATTGCGGCTTTTTAACAAAGCCACCCTTTGTTCTCGCTGCAGATGCGAGCTTCCCCATTTGGGGGTATGACAGTGCCATGTCAGGTGCCATCCCCGGAACAGATGTAAAAAGGATGTGTAGATTAGTTTTAATCACACCTCATGCACTTAAAAAAGTGTGAGGTCTGTGGGGCTTGCTCAGGTCACCAGGCCGTAAGTGTCACAAAGGTGTGGGTATTATGGGGTGATAAGCAATAGGTTGTAACCCGTCGCCTGTCACGTGACACTAATCTACAACAGGACTACATGTAATGGGGGCCCAGGGCTTGTGCCCTGACACCTGGGTAGGGCTGGTTACACCAGTAGGCTGTGGACCATAGGGGAGGGTCATGGGGACCCAGGAGTCATCCCCTGACACCCCAAGTATAATATAGAAGTCTTAAGCCCCTCAAAAAACCTCCTCTAGGACGTCTATCGCATCCCACTTGTCTGCTACTCTACCCAGAACTAAGAACTGAGTAACAGGCATGTCTAAAGGCACCTTGGTATAAAACCCAAATGAATTGCATGACAAACAATTGACCCTCGCTAATGCCTCCATCATTAAGTAGTGAGGGGGGGCCTCCGGCCTCAGTTCCTTCATCGCCATCTCCCCTGGAAAATTGGGGACAACAAGAACATAATGGGTGCAGTGCTCCATTCTGAGTCCCTAAAGCTGAGTCCTGTCAGAGTCTGGAGATTATTGTCAGAGACTGGAATGCTTGTCAGAGACTGGGATATTGTCGGAGTCGGACAAAGCGGATATGCAGGCGGAAATATGCAGTGCATCCGGAAGTGCTGTTCAAGGTTAGCAGAGTGGGATCGCAGCCTCAGTGTTATGGAAATGGGAAATTCCCATTTTCAGCCTCTTATGGCCTCTGTACAGTATATTATCACGTGACATGTATATAATAACAACTGAACCATCAACAACCACCAAAAGCCACCCTTTGTTAATGTCATTGTAAAGACAATTGTTAAACCTCTGTTACATTAACTGTAACACTATTTCCATGTCACGGCCACTCCCTGCACCCGGACGCTATAGAAATGGGCCAATTAGGCCCCATTTTTATAACACTCAGCGACTCAGGTGGAGCGCTGTGCCCTGAGCTTGACGTTTGGGGGAGATCCCATATTTATGGATTGACACTCACAGCGGACTTCAAACAAGACTTGCGGGTGAAGCGGACCTGTAGGAGGAGCACAGACTCCACGAGCATGGACTCAGAGGGGGGGAAGCCCCCTTTGCAGAAGGAGGGACTCAGACCAGACAGGGGGGTACTCTAGTTGATTTCAGACTAAGGTCCCCGAAAGTATTTACAGGATATAAATAGGCAGGAGGGAAACACAGAAGGACCAGTCAGTCCGGCGCGGTCCGGCGTGGAAATAAGCGGGGATTGTCAAACTGAATGAAGGACAAGAGCCCAGGAAATGGGAGGCAATGAACTAAACAAAAGCGGATCAAGTGCCAATATTGGCAAGTTAAGCGAATGAATGGATGAACAATATAGGCACTCGGCAAGGAATGAATGGTATGCTGCCAAGTGACAAGATGGCCAGAGAAAAGTGGAGGTCAGCACGCAGCACCGATACAAGTCCGCAAATAAGCGGGGTCGGTGCGGTGCCAACACAGGTCCGTGAAGGGACATGGAAATCAGCATGGTGCTGACAAGTCCACAACAGAGGGTGGTCCATCAGTGCCATCACAAACAAGGGCAGCATGATGGCCAGCAAGGTCGGAGGGGAGTGTTGGCCTGACCACAGGGTGTGGAGGGCAACCAGGAGTGGCAGAGGTCCAGAGGGTGTGGAGGTGGGCAGAGGTACAGATGCGGGTGGAGGTCCGGATGCGGGCAGAAGTCCAGATGCGGGTGGAGGTCTGGATGCAGTGCATGGTTGATGGGGCAGGGGGCCAGACATCGGATTGGGGGCTGGTTAGATTGGGTTTCAGGTCGGCAGATTCGCCTATCGGCATTGATTCGCCGCTGACGGAGCCCCAGGATTTGTCGGTCATGACAAGTCCCTTCAACACCCTGTCACCCTTGGAGCTCTGCCCCACCTCTGGCCTGTCTCCGACCCACCATTGGATGACCCAGAATACCAAGCTCCACCAGACAGTGTTGCCTGGATAGCGATTGGACCTATCCAAAGAACGTTCATCTGACACCAGGGGTTATATAACTTTTAATACATTCTCGGCACAAATAAATAGAGAAGGAACAAAGGGATGACAGAAGCGGAGTGGTAATGAAGGTCATAAGGCAGAACCTGTGGTATGTCCGAAAGGAGGTAAGGAGGGCATGGCCCAGAGGGGCAGGAGGATGAGGGGAAGTGGGGATGATGACTAACTGGCTAGAATGGTAAGAAGCAGCAGTCCAAATAGGGATGAGGGGAAAACATGAGAGATACATTACAAGCGGCGAAAGTGCCGAAGATGATCCATGAAGCTCGGAGGTTGTGGAGCTTACGGAGCTTATGGAGGTGGGGTTGAAAGTCCGAGGAATATTGGCAATGGTGTTTACATAGTATGAGGTCACCAATGCAATGGACTAAGACCGAGGTGGAGTCAAAGTCCGAGGTAGGAACTATGACGGAGGCTCGGAGCAAAGGTACGAGCGGTACCCGAGTACGAAGTATGGGGCAGCAGCAGAAGGTCATAACTTGGCAGGAGGTCAGCGGAAGAGGACCAGAGGGAAGAGAGAGGAGAGAGGGAAGAGGGAAGGAGTGGCAGAAGGGAGAGTTGTCAGGTCCAAAGGTGAGTATCGGAGCCAACAGGAGAAGAGTAGGAGGATGACGGAAGGGTGGAGGTGTTGTGGGGAGGAAGCAGAGGAGTGGGAAGAGGAGTAGTAGGAGGGTGGTGAGAGGGGTGGTGTTCGGTCCGAGGTGGGTATTGGAGCGGATGGAGATAGGAGAGGAGAGGGACAGAGGAGTGGAGGTGGCATGGGAGGTGAGAGGAGGTGTGGTGCCAGGACCGAAGGTGAATATCGGAACGGACAGTGGTAGGGTAGGACTCCGGAGGTGGTGAAGGAGGAGGTCTGGGAGTCGGGTCGGGGTTGGGTATGCATGGATATGACAAACCCCGTTAGCTCCGCTCCACTCAGCCCCGTTGTTTACGGGCCCACCCCCACTGTAACTATATATACTCGACTTGTAAATAGGTTACACCTCAGTAATAAAATCAACTAGAGTTTACCCCCTTTTAGTTCTGGTTGCCAGTTAGTAAGTTAGGGCATGGACGTGTTACTGGGCACAGCACTCCTGGCATAAGTCGCTGAGGCCAAAGCCCTCCGCCATGGAGACATTCCTTCGTCTCAATCTGGTCTCTGACAGATAATGGGTAAGGGGTGATGTGATAGTGATAATAGCGCAATGAATAGTACCTGCATTCTAACTATGTAAATATCTCCCACAATCTTGGCTAATGGTTATGTCATTGAAATCGCTTAGAGTAAAGGGGGGCCAGATAGCCAGCTGTCCCCTGACAACCAATTGTTGCTAAACATTGGGCCAAATCTTTGGCCTTTGTGATCCATTGGTGCATTGTCAAATCGGGTTCGTATATCATAGAATTAAATTGATGATGGAGAGAGGAGATAGTGCTATGACCTTCAGACTGGAACATTAACTTGAGCTTGTTCCATGTCCCTGGCACATCTGCATTATCACAGTGCACCATATATTTGGTGAACACATTTAGAAGGATTTCTGCTGCAGCTAAGCAGTGCTTCTTCTCCCAAGCCAGAACAGTCTTTGAATTTGGACTACCAGTTGGGTTCTGACTGTGCCTGGATACGACGATATCCCACAAATCTTGCTTGGTCAAGTGGGCCTCCATGTACATGGCCCAACTGGGGTAGTTATCATTGAGTTTGTCAAATGTGACTGTAGGCATGGTGAGAGAAGGGGGAATTGTCAAAAACCCTGAACGAGGGGAAAGTGCATGAGTCCGAATGCAGGTGGGGCTCAACTAAAGGGGATCTGAGAGCTCCAGTAGTGAACCGAAGCTTCTCCAGGAAGCCTGGGTCTGCTGGGTGGTACAAGAGGCTCTAGGAAGGATGTGGCCTCAGTGACTCGGAGGGAGCGCTGTGCCTCCATTACGTCTCAGTTAGTCCTTATATTTCATGTGTCTGAGGTATCTTGTAGGAAGAGGTGGATTCACTCATAGAGGGACTTTTAGTCGAGATTAGAACTGGGGTACAACGGGTTCTAATCTACAAGTATTTATATATCGAGGAGGGAGAAGGACTTTAGTCAAAGTCCGAGTGGTAATGGAAAACACCGAAAGGTGCCGAATGATACCCTTAACAGGGAACTGGGGTGTTGGGGCAAGAAGGGTGGAGTAAATGGCCAGAGGATGAATGGGAATGAGAAATGGGTAAGAGGAAGTTAGCCAACTGAATGGAAGGAAGACAACAGTCATACTATAAATGGAAGGTGACTAATTTGTGATGACGTTGTAACAGGGAATTTATCCCAACATCACACAGGCTCACAGGGGGGACAGTAATCTCCTGCCTGCCTCTCTCAATCTCACTAAAGGTCCTTGTAGTACGGTGCTGATACTCTGTCTAACCTCTAACTAACTGTCTGTACAGTTGTCACGGAAGAGTCCGATACAAATATAAAGGAAAGTCACATGCGTGAATGAATGAAAATAGTAAAGAAAGTAAAGAAAATGTCAGATCTCCTCAACTACTCCACCAAATCCAACGATCTTGGGCTCGTCAGAACCACCTCCACAGTCTCTACAACTCCTACTATTACCACGACTCACCAATCCTAGTCCCTGATGCAGTAAGGGGTGAAATGTGTGATAAGGGTTGGTTTGACCTGCACGGACTTGTCCCCACAACAACGTGAGCAGGATCACTGGAGGATGCAGGTAGCTCCGAAGGCAGAGTTACGTATCCAAAGGATGTTGGGTGACTCCAATAAATGAAATGGGAGGGGAATGGTTTAGAGGTATGTCATGGGATGTCGGAGATCTGTCAGGAGGTCAGAGCAAATCCGGAGTCTCCAAATGTTCCGACTTGGGACTGAGCTTCTGGGATGGAAGTGGCC